TTTTCTAATTTTTGTGCAGAATAAAAAAAAAACTTGATTAACATGTTACGAACACATCTGCGGATGTTTCTAAATTCAAATTTTCACCAATTTCATGTTAAAATGTTGAATTCTGCTTAAGCCTGTGCTAGGGGCGTGGACGGTACTTTGCAATTGACAGTACCGTCCATGAACAGGCTCAATCGAACCGAGCCTGCAAAATTTTCAATTTTGTCGTGTTGGTTTTTCTTTAGGGATTCTTTTTTTCTCTATTTTGCATCATGAAATGTGTGATGCAGTAGCTTAGACGTTTGGAATCTGGAATGTCCGGCTGATCATACTTTATCATATTACACAAATTTATACATTCTACATACCAATCCATTTTATTAGGAAAGGCAAATTTAAATAATTTTATGTAGCATTGTTTTTATTTTACAGAGAAAGAAAATGCGTAACTAGCTCTTGCAATTCTATTATTGAAATATAATTGTGTTTTTGTTAACAAAAGACCGAACAAGCGTAATCTAAGGAAACTATTTCTATTACTTGCTGAAACACAATTATAAGAAGTAATAACGCTTGCGTCACACAGTGGTATTTCTATTTTTTATTATCTCCTTGGGACAAAAACGTTTAATATGAAGCGCGCAAAAAGATTCGTTCGTAAAATATAACGATAAGCTGTATACCAACAGATAAAACTAGATTGATATGTATGGAACGCCATAGCTGCCTCATGTTATTACATTTCTTTTTATCTTGCCTAGAACGCGTCTTATTATGTCAAGTATTAGTGTTGTGTTGCCATAGTATTTTGTTGACTTGTCTAAATATTGGCTTATTATGCGTATCAGAAGTCTTATGTCTTCAAAATGTGACGTTGATTTGTCTTAACATTGTTTCATTATTTCAAACAGTAGTGTTATCATGTCAAAATGTCGTTTCGGCTTGTCTGAAATGTGTCATATTATGTCAACTAGTCTGTTTTGTCAATAGACTATCTGATCATTTGAAACGGTAGTGTTCTCTTGTCGAAATTAGGTGTTGACTTGTCAAAGCACAGCTTTATTTTATCAAACAGCTATCTTATTTTGTCAATATACGGTGTTTTAATGCATTTACATTATCTTATTGGGTCAAGCAGAAGTGTTATTTTGCCAACGTACACTACTGAATTGTCTTATTATATCAAATATTCGCATTATCTTGCCGAAATGAGATGTTAACTGGGCTAAATCATGCCTTATAATGATAAACTGTATGCTATTTTGTCAAAAAGCGGTTTTGACTGGTTAAAACTCAATCTTATAAAGTCAAACAATTGCGGTATCTTGTCGAAATGAGGTAATGACTTGTCAAAACTCTTTCTTATAATGTAAAACAGAAGTGCTATATATTGTCAAAATTTGATGTTTTCTTGTAGAAAACAACAACAGTCTTACTATGTCTAATAATTGTGATATTTTGTTCAAATTTACATCTGTCTTGAGTAAGCGCTGTCTGATTTTGCTAAACTGCCCCGTTATCTTTTTTGCTCTATCGTTTCACGCTCTGTGCGCGCTCTGTTCACGTGATACAAAATTTGGACAATATCGCATCTGGACAGGTTAACACGATTATCTGACATAATAAGACGGTATTTAGACAAGTTAACGTAATAAATTGGCAAGTCAACGCCACTGTATTACATAATGATACTGTGTTTTAACAAGTAACCACCGCATTTGAAAAGGAAAAATGAGTATTCGCCATAAAAGGACGATGCTTAGTCTAATTAACACCGAACCTTGACAAAATAAAATGACACTCTGACAAAAAGAAAGTAATTTTAAACAAGTCATCACCACGTTTCGACAAGACAATATGATTATTTGACATAATAAGACGAATCTAGACAAGTTAAATCTACATTTGGACATAATAGCGTGACAGTTTGACAAACTAAAATAGCGTTTTAACAGTTCATAACCATAATGTGTAAAGATACCACCATTATTTCACATAATAAATCGGTGTTTAGGCAGGTTAACATAAATTTCGGATAAAATACCATGGCGATCTGAGAAAATAAGGCAGTGTTTAGACATATCAGTACCATCTTTCGACAAGTCAACAATACTGTTTGGCATAATAAGATAACGTTTACACAAGCAAACAAGGTTTATTGGCAAGTCAATACTAGTATCTCACATAATAAGTATATTTTTAGACAGGATAACAACAGTTTTAGACAAGACAGCATGATGTTTTGGCACAATAAGACAGAATAACACCACCTCATATAAAGCAACATAATAGTTTGACAAAACAGGACAATACTCAGACAAGTCGATATAACCTTTGAACAAGATATCACTACTAGCCGACATGATAAGACATGAGTTCGACAAGTTGACACTACACATAATAAGACAATTTCTAGACAATTTACCACCACAGTTGGACAAGACAGCATACTATTTTGGCATAAAAGACATTCTTTAGGCAACATAATACCGAATTTGAACACAATGACATGGCAATCTGACAAAATGTGACAGTGTTTAGACAAGTCAATACCACATTTGGACAAGACAAAACGACGGTATAACATAATACAACAGTGTCATAACAAACCAGGATTACTTTATGACAAGATAATACCAAGTTCCGACAAGATAACACTACTGTTTCACATAATAAGACAATTTCAAGACAATTCAACACCACATTTAAACAAGGCTGTGTTTAGACACGTTGAAATCTTAATTTGAAAAGATGGCGTGCATGTTAGACATATTAAGACTTCCATTAGGCATGTTTACACCGGATTTGGACATGATAACATGACGTTTTGAAATAATAAGACAGTGTTTAGACAAGTCAGCACTTTGTTTTGACAATATAACATGAAAATTTGACCTAATAAAATTTCGCTAAGACAGATTCCCATAAAACGTTGGCAAGCCAACACTACTATTATACATAATAAGACGCTTTTAGGGGAAAATAAAGCGAAATGTCATAACATGAGGCAGCTATGGCGTTCCATAGATATGAATGTATTTCAATGATGTGATTCATGAAATGTTTCGTGCTGATAAAACAATAAAATAACGTTTGTACTTTTTAAATTATAAAACTGAACTCGCATATTGTTAGTAGACATACAAACAGGATATTGTAAATACTGATTACATTTATTACCTTTACTGCCAATGCAATGGCATATTTTTATATCATTATTTTTTGTTGGATTTTTTACATGTATTCAAAAGATGTAAATGATCTAATTTGATAATTGATATTTGAAAAGACAGATAATTGATATAGTCTTTTAATTGTTAAATATGAAGAAAAACGTATGTTACGTTTTACACAGTATTGGTAAACAAAGGTACACATACATAGTGTCATTAAAAACTGACAAGCTTTTCTTTTCAAAGAAAGGACCAAGTTTACATGCTCAGTAATGTGGCAGCTCTCCAAACATAGTTTTTGCTTCATTTTAATCCTATTCAGTAAGAATTTCCTAGATTTCAATATATTTCAATAAGTATTTGACCCACAGATTAGCATAGCATATCTTGAATATTAGAAATGCTGAACAAAAATGCGTATAATTCCTGCAATCAAAAGATTTATCCTGAAATTTGACAAGAAAATCTTTCAGTTAGAAATAAATGCATTTGTTACGTGCTTGGCTTAATTTTCGTTCATAAATTATTTGCTTTATCTAATAACAGAAAGATTGGAGACGCGGCAGAATCAATTTGAATTGATAATCCATAATTTCACGTGGGAATCTTCAAACGTGCCGTTCAGTAAGCGTTTTACTAGTATAATAAGAGTTCAAGAGTTATATGGTATAATAACATGGTATGGACATTCGTACTGCGAGAGATATAAAAGGGCGAGCAGCATTTTTGTCTGTATGAAAAAAAAGATTTATTTACTTGTTTTCCTCATGTTGTTTGCTAATTGTACAGATTGAGTGTTGCTGTAACTAAAAAACAAGGTATTCCATAAAGCTTATATACGGAATTATGCAAGCATTTATATAATATAAGATTCAGATAATATAACTGTTTCAGCTTTAGAACAAACATAAATTGTTTCTGCACGAAAAGAGCCACTTGGATAAGAAACACATGTACGTTTTGCGTCTTAAAATAAAGTTTACGTAGATTAGAAATTAAACGTTTCAATGATAAGAAAGGTATTTTAATTAAAAAAACTATTTACTTTCTTGTTTCACAGTTCAGCTACATCTGTAACAACACAATCAAATTTAAAGCACCGGAAATAAGAACGAAAAATATTATGGTGCCAATCTTTCAAGTGACAAAATCACCACACTTCTTTAAATAAGGACAATGTTGATATTGAAGAATCAGACTTTGGATTGCTAACAGGTGTAGATCTTTGCAATCGGGCTAAAAAGCTGGAAAATCCTTGCCAAAGTTACCTACAGAAGTGTCATAAAATGTCTGAAATATTTATTTCACAGGGAAATTGGGAAATTTGCATCTGAGACTCTGCCAATTCTATACACTCTGTATTGCTGAGATATATCATGCAACACTCCAAAACAACTTCATTGTTCATATTACTACGTTATTAGATTATAAAACAGATTATTGTTCTGCATTAGTGTAACTCTTTTCTAAAGCGTTCCTTTTATTGGGTTTGATAACAATATTTTATTAGATATTTATGCACGCAAAATTCGTGTACGCTGATTCTTTTGATTATTATATCAAGATGTCAAAGCTTGGGTTTTACGTGTTATCATCGCATCATTTAGTTTGAATATAGTATAATATGTTCCCTTTTTATTATTTAGACACATGTAAAGTATGGTAACGTCATGTTTAACTGTTTGGCTGTTTTTGTTGTTGTTGTTGGTATTTTTGGGGGGTTTTTTTTAAGGAAATTAATTAATCATTTAGGATGATACTGTTCAACTGTACAAGTTTGTGAGTATAAATCATTGAAGATATCATTCTATAATATGTATTTTTCTTATATATTTTCAGTTTAAACCATGTCGGATATATTTGTTGTTCTCCCGCCTCTAACAGCCGATAACTGCGTTCTCTTCGCCAAAAATTCCGACCGGCCGCCGACAGAAGTGCAAGAGGTAGTCTATTATCCGCCGGCGGATTATTCAGCGGGATCAAAACTTCATGTAAGGAATTTTCTTTATTTTCTACTACAACATACGATATCGTGTATATACATGTTCTCTGTTTTTCATGTACAGACCTTGAATTTAGTTTCGTAAACAGAAGCGGAAATATGAAAGAATTTTATTACCGGAAGCTTTTAAACTCTCGTGATTGTCAATGGCGGTATAGACGAACAGACGACATATAGACGAACAGACGACATCGCGTATGTCTATATAATGGGCGTTTTATATATACAATTGTTCGTTGGAAATCAGTAACATTAACTTATTGAGCAATCGATACAGAGTTCACGAGACAGGCTGTGTCTATTTATGGAAACAGTATGTTGATAATTACGTCTACTGTTGGAATTGGGCGATTCTAAACTTATGAACGGAATACTCGTGTATTCTTACATGTAACTGAACGCTGGTTATAATAGTACCGCCATGTCATATACAATAGAGGAAAATGACCCTTCCATAGCGTTTTAAATTAAACTTGTATGAATTCCACACCGCTTTGATATGTCCGTATTGCTGTTACATGTTGATCTTCTATAATTGAATCCGTTGCTTATTCATTTAGTGAAGTCACAACGGAAGTATTAGAATGTCAAAGAACGAGCAAAACTATTTAAAGTGCCATACAAGTTTCAATAAAAACAGGAAACGATATGACTTACTTGTAATAAAGGATCATATACATTGATCGACCAAAATGAATTATAGTTAATATGTAAATTATACAAATTGTAAATACGTAATAAATACCCATGTACATTTATTGATAGCTAATGTCACTCTTATGTCCTTTTGAGCAATTGTTTATCGATATAACAAATGGCCTTCACGTGTCGGTGAATTTTTAATTTCATACGAAAACATGGGTCACATGTTTTCAAGAACAGTTGATTTGATTTAGCCATTTATACATTTAGTTTTCAATTTTCAAGATTAAGAAAAGTGTATTTTGTCATAAAGTCTTAAATCTTGTATTTCAAAAATCTTCCACATTATTGTAGAAAAAAGAAGAAAATAGTTTATTTCCATAACTTATACATAATACAGTATCTCGTTACATACAGTAAACTGTTATTGGAATATACAGTTAAAGGCCATACGTCAAAAAGCAAAGGAAAAATACAATCATATTAAGATGATTATCATTATAATATAATTATAGCACCGCACTTTTGCGACGTTGGATTTTATTGCAAAATCGTTTATTTTATATGTGCACGCATATACACGGCTTTACGTTCTTGTTATCAAAGTAACAAAATTATGCAGTTATTGATTTGTTATAACGACGTTTCAGATATATAATCTTATTCAAATCATTTCAATTATCATGTTATAATAATATTATTTTATAACTTCAGTGTACGTTTATTGATGTGGACCAAATAAGTCATACCCATGCCGTTATTTTGAGTAAACCAGCCTGGTGCTGGGGTGCCGAAATGGGAGCAAATGAACATGGCGTTTGTATTGGTAACACCGCCGTGTGGACAAAACTGTGTCACCCTGGGGATCACGAGGAGAAGCTAACCGGATGTGACTATGTAAGGTAAATCGAATCATTTGATGTGAAGATTTAAAATACAATAATTGGCCCCAGGCAATTTGTTCCATAATTTTCTATTTCCAAAGCTAGTTTGTAATATTTTATGTCGGAAAGCATATAATTAAACGGTAAGAGAAGAAAATACCTCGAAAGTTGTAATGACCAGGATATGATTCCATTTGCTAATATTATGCATATGTTTGTTATTACATGTGTCTGGTACAAAGTACATATGTCTCGCCAATATGTTGAATAATATGATATGACAAATAACATTATTTGAAAGGAAACTTTACAATTATTCAAAAGATAACTTTAAAAGTTGTTCTATAGTTTGAGTTTTGTTTCCCGGCTTCTTAGGCACTCCTTAGTATCAGAACATAGGGCAGCGTCAATGGGAACCTAGACAAGAGCCAATTTAACTGAGTCTTGTATTGTTTGTAGCAAAGTCAAACATATCAACCATTTCACAATAGAAATGGTACAGCCTCCCATTAAACACAAATCAAATGTCGCCACTAAGAGCAAGATGTCAGTGATTCTACTATAAGAATATAAAAAAATTATTATGTACAACAGACGACAAGATAGTTTGTCTTTTATAATGATAGTATATTAACAAACGCGTTTCTACATCTAAAAATAGAATGAAAAACAAGAAAATACGAGGGTTGTCCCAATATTCTGTGACAAAATTGTTTAAAAGCTAAATTAACTAGTTACGAATTAGATATTTTGATGTCATAAAAACCCGTATTATGGAAACATTTTCACAAATTAACATAGAAAAATATCAACAAACAACCAAAATATGCCATAAATACCATGACATCTATTTGAATCGCGGCGCACGTCAAAAGTCAAAATCGGCGTCAAATCTATATTAAGTGCCTATCTCAATTATTTTCCATAGCATTCAACGCATAGACGATGCAGTTATACTCATTTATCATCAATTACGGACTGATACTATGTAGTTTTTTGTCGTTGTTGAATGTTTGGACAGCATACACTATTTTCTTGCTAGAAGTGAACTTCCGGTCTTGTTGCACCTGTTTAAGCTGTGCGAAATAGGTGACCGAGATCGGTCTTCCTATTCGTCTTTCCCTTATTTTCGCTTTCTGAAGTACAGGACTCTGGGTTTGTTCATATCTTTTGTAAACAAATGCTCGGAATATTTTTTTACTGTTCTATCGGGTACATTAGTTGAAAAATCTTAACAGTCATCTCGAAATACTAACGAACCACCTGATAACTGTTCGCTGCGCCGCAAATTCTTCTTACGTCGCCATTTTAACTTTCCTATTTTCTATGAGACGTTTTCATTTTTCCGTACGTCGTTCGTTTCTTAAGTTATTTAGTTGAAATTTTCTACGATGATGTCAACATAACAGCTGAGGGAGTCAACGTGATATTGTGCAGACACATCATCAGATATTTGAAATATACATAATTTATTTAAGCCTATTTTTAACAAAATGCAAATTATTTGACGTGCGCCGGGAACTCAAACCAATGTCGTTAATATTGAAAATTTTGAAGTAACTCGAGTAGATATTTTGTAAATGATTTATTGTAATGTAAAATAATAAACTTATAGGTTATATGTGTGATTTAATATCTATTGGCGTTAAAAATGAACCGTCTGTAAGATTTGTCACGGACTTTTGGGACAACCCTCGTATTTATGAGTTTGTTTACTTTGATGTAACAAGTTTCCTGTTAACGTCATGTTTATAGATCAATAAAGCCATTGCTCTTGGGGATTAAAACAACAATATCCTTTTAACATTATAACCTTTTCTGCGAAACAATCTGCACAATATCGTTCAGAACGCCAGCGGCAAAAATGCATGGCACTGTCTGCAAAATAATTGAACAATAAATTTTTGAACACAAGCGTCAATACAAAATAAATCAGAACTAATACTGCATATTGTCTCCGTAATACTGTCTCCATACAATTGTTAGCGACAGTAATTGTGAACACTGACTTTCGAAAGAATAACAAAATAACTCAAAAAAGAAAGAAAAGAAAAACACTAGCAGAAAAAAGTGTAAACATTCAGCAATATTACTCACAACGCTATTGGCATTCCAGGTGCAAAATAACCGGAAAGATAACTTATGCAACTCAAACGTCAATAATACAGCCAAGTTTAAACAACCATTCTTTTAAGATAAGCAGGAAATGTGACGAACCTCGTGTAAAAATACAACATAAATAAGATATTCAACCCGATATTCCAGTCTTTTTATCTGGACAAAACCAGTCAATATATTATTTCTAGGTCTACCATGATCACACGGCACGGAGATGGTTGTTGATCTTGCACTGCACTGATCATATGAGTGGATTCAATTGTGGCCAGCGACAATAGTGGACTTTGAACCTATTATTTGAAATGCCATTTGTTTAAATGGGTGTTATTTACATGCATTTCTTGGCATTTACACCATATGATAAAGCAGAAAATAGAAACTTATTAATTTTGACCTTTCGCAATTAATCGGGTGTTCTGATCGTAAGACAGTTATATGATATAAAATCTGAAAAAAAAAATGTCTTCTACAGTAACCGTAATTACACTGTAGAAATAATTGTTATTTATTCCAACAAAAAAACAAGAAGACAAAATTAGTTTTCATGATTTATTTAAGGTTTGGCAAAATGTGTCTATAGTTGGTGAAAAAGAAATACCGATACGAATATATGTTTCATGTGACATCGGTAAAACGGCCACATAATGTTATGATAATATACGCAAAGTGGATAATTTGATACTGTTAATTAAGGGAAACATTAAAGTGATCAAACGAGATAACCTTCCAAACTTATGTTCCATAATATTAAAGTAGAAACTCACTACATATTATATCAACGTATGTATGTATGTATGTATGTATGTATGTATGTATGTGTGTGTGTGTGTGTGTGTGTGTGTGTGTGTGTGTGTGTGTGTGTGTGTGTGCGTGTGCGTGTGCGTGTGCGTGTGCGTGTGCGTGTGCGTGTGCGTGTGCGTGTGCGTGTGCGTGTGTGTGTGTGTATGTATGTAAGTATGTATGTGCGTGTGTATGTATGTATGTATGTATGTATTCTATGCTGAATGAGGGTTCGTCCGCCCGTTAACTTCACTTTTTATTCAGCTTTGTTATGGAAGTTTATTTACGTCCATTTATATTAAATGAAGGACAAAATAAAGGACAAATACCTACTGCAATAAAGTTGTAAACTCTCTCACATGTATGAATCTGTTTATGTATCAACAATGGTGAGAGACACGTGAATGTAAATTCCATTTGGTAACAGAGGTACCGCCGGCACACCATGTTTTCTCACATATTTGTTTGTTTCAGTTTTAATTTGCATGTATCATATTTGAATTGTTCTTCTTTACAACAAATATTTTATTTAAGTTTAATGTGCATTAATTGAGGCTGATGATTCCGACACATTCTAATTTTCAGACTAGGATTAGAGCGCGCTAGTACAGCAAGAGAAGGTGTAAATGTAATTACAAATTTGCTGTCGCAGTACGGGCAAGGGGGATTATCCAGTGAGGACCATAATTTTGGACAATGGACATACCACAGTGCTTTTATTTTAGCTGATAGTTCTGAAGCATGGCTACTTGAAACTGCCGGAAAGTTTTGGGCTGCGAAAAAAGTAACGAGTAAGTAACAGTGTCTGTAACGTACATTCTCTTGGATATCGCGGAAATTGTACATGTGTTTACTTATATCTCAATCAACCTTAAGAACACCTATCTTGCGGTTTTACTTTCTGCGTTTGCACCTGCCATATTTGTTTTTGTTTGACTAAAACATTTAAAACATAATGCAGAGATGTAAATTTTAATTAAAAAAAATTACATAATGCTCTTGCTTCTCTCTTCAAAATATAAACAAAAGTCTCTTGATGTTGCCATACTTATTCGTATTGGAAAAACATTTGATTGCTTCCAAATAAGTTTTAAAAATATGGTTTTCTTTTAACTCTTCATAATCATATTTTCTGTAAACTAATACATTTAATTTTTCATTGGTTTGCCTTAAATTTGTAGGTGGTACCTTAATAGCCACGAGCACTTTAACTATAGGAGATGATGCGGAAATTACATCAGCCGATTTATCTGCGCAGGCGCAGTCAGGTGGTTTCTGGAAATCTGAAGATGGTCCAATTAATTTTTCCAAAGCATTTTCTGCGGAATATCCCGGTATTTCATTGTCTGACAAACAAATGCCGGAAAACAGACTGCAGTGTATTAAACGTGGTCTAGATGTAGCTGCTTGTGAAGGTTCGAATCACGTTCCTACTTCAACTTGATAAAATCCATTAAAATATGCCATTTTTAAAATTGGAAACTTAACTTATAACAAAAGGAATATAATCGAAGTTCTGTGATTAATCAGTTTTGAATCATCAATGTAAAGGCTTTGTATCTAAATTAACCTCATTATATATGTAAACGCAGTTCATTTTAAGTCCAGTATAAATAAGAGATAGTAGATTTAGATAATATGATCACTTCTTTATACCATAATTAAATATAATTTGACATGTGGAACCGTATTGCATTTAAAAACGGTTCATAGTCAATTAAAGAAGTAATTTCTTATTGTGAATTATTACTTAATCAGTCTGTTAATTATGTGAACATGTTTGTCTAGCTCTATCTAACTTGTGATTTATTTTAGGTAAGATAGACGTGAATACAATAGTTGGAATCCTTAGAGACGAGGACAGTAGCGTCAATTTTGTTGGAGAGCTTTTAACAGTCGGAAGCCAAGTGTCTGTGATTTCCCCTCCCAATTCCAGCCAGCCATCTTGTCACTGGTTTACTGCGACGCCCAATGCAAAATATTCCGTTTTCAAGCCTTTTATATTCTGTGACAATATTACTTTTGGTAACTACACCGTGTCTTCAACGTCAGGAGGGACCGCAAGATCAACATTTCAATCGTCTATTGATCGCAGACATCCGCTCTACAAGGCGCATGAAAAGGGGAGAGAACTCATGGAAACCGGAAGTCCAGCTGGAAAAAATTTGCAGACGACAATGCAAAACTTGGAAAAACAGTGTTTAAGGGAAGTAACTGAGTTTTTGAGAACTTTCAAGGAAACAGACATTAGTGATGTGAAAGACCTATTTAGAGACATTGCAGAATCCGAAGCTAAGTTCTATCATTGAATTTTTCAAAGATGGCCGTTAGACCAACTGTTTATGGTATATGACATTAACTTTTTGCAAGCTTATGGTTGTGCTTTTTTAAATATCAACGGTATGAGAAACTTACATCAAATCTTAATGTGAATCATATTTCGGTTCATTGAATACATCGATTCATCGGCTATGTGAAACACAAAGTTTTGAACGTTATTTTTTCAAGCTTACAATATTTTTAGTCCCCTACCGGTTTACCGGAGGGGACTTTAGGTTTACCCTCCGTCCGTCTGTCCGTCCGTCTGTCCGTCCGTCTGTCTGTCAGTCCGTCAGTCCGTCCGTCCACAAAACTGGATCCCGCGATAACTTGAAAAGTACTGAAAATATTTTTATGAAACTTGATATATGGATAGATGGCAGTATGGAGATTATGCACGTCTTTTTCTTTTCTTCCTATGTTGAAAATTCTGGTTGCTATGGCAACAAATAGGCTGAAAATATGGCAAATTTTACACATAAACTGGATCCAGTGATAACGCAAAAAGTACTGAAAATATTTTTATGAAACTTGAATCTCTAGCTGGAGATTATGCACGTCTTTGTTTTCTTCCTATATGAAAAATTTGGTTGCTATGGCAACAAATAGACTTAAAATATTGCAAATATAACAAAAAGTACTAAAATATTTTTATGACAAAAAGTAATAGAAATATTTTTATGAAACTTGTAATATGTGTAGATGGCAGTCTGGAGATTGTACACGTCTTTTTCTTTTCTTCCTATGTTGAAAATTCTGGTTGCTATGGCAACACATAGACTGAAAATATGGCAAATTTTACACATAAATTGAATCCAGTGATAACTCAAAAAGTACTGGAAATATTTTTATGAAACTTGACATATGGGTAGATGGCAGTCTTGAGATTATGCATGTCTTATCTGTTCTTCCTATTTTGAAAAAATATTGGTTGCCTTGGCAACAAATATGCTTAAAACATGGCAAATATTACAATATTTGTGATTAGTCAAAAAGAGCTGAAACTTTTTATGAAATTGCATCTTTAATTCCAGAGTTATCTCCTCTTTAAGAATTTTGCTATTTAAAATGTTATATTTTGGTAACAGGGATGTTTCAAATATTAACTTTAGAGTGTCCTTCAGTTCGTCTGTCTGTCTGTCTGTTTATAAAAACTTTTTCCTGTGATCACTTTTAAAGAACATTTCCCACAAATTTACTTAAAATAGAGAAAAATTTACACATTAGTGAATGGCCAATGGCCCTTCAGAATGCTGATGGGGTTCTATCCGGTAGGGGACTTATGGATTGCTTGCAATACTATGATAATTGCTTGTTTTTATTACAATGTATTTAAAAACTAGGAGCCAACGGTGCATTAAGATGTAAACGTGTGTTCTAGATTCGTATTTGTTGTTGATGAGAAAAGGTGTGCGCTAACTGGCTTTTGATGTAGTGTATGAGTAGGTCAATTCAAATTTGTGTTCAGAGAATATGTATTTTATCATATACCGTGTCTGTGTTGAATCTAGATATTAAATTATTATGACTGAATACTCCATTGTTATAACCTTTCCTCTTAGCGATTGTACTCTTGTTTGTCTTCTATGAATGGCTCTTTAAAGTAACATTCTAAATATTTTAGCAAACTTCGACTTTGCGTGAGCTACTGATAGAATAGAGAAAAAAGAAATCCCTAAAAACGCTTAAAACGGCAAAATTGATTATGTTGCATTTCGGTCTGATTGAAAATCTGGAAACAAAGTAATCCCTCGGAAGCATTTATCACAACAAAATTACATGAAAGCCTTTTCGTGACGGTACTGGAAAGTGCAAGCTACAGTCCACATACCCGCCCGCCCCCTCTTCTTCCGAACTGGTTTGAGCAGGATTCAACATTTAACACGAAATAAATTTAGAAACATCAGCATGTGTGTTCATATTATGGGGGTTAACATGGAACCTTCAATGTGACACGTTATGACTATTCCGCGAAAAGCAGCATACTCGTATAGTAGAAACGTTGGAGAAAACACTCATAAATAGATGCCATAACTGTTCTACGAATGTTACCGGGAGTAAATTATATCGGATACAATATGTTGGATTTAATTAAACAAGGGAGACAACTAAAATTCAATATTGTCAATGATATCACAGTTTACTATTCTTTAGTTAACATATACATAGACCATGTAGACAACACGGTAGAACTAAGCAGTAAGATCACAACCCTACAGTAGGGTAATTTCGATCACTCACCGTGGCATATGTGTTTCGTGAAGAGTTTATATAACAAAATGAATAGAAGATTAGTCTCGTTAAACATTCATCAGACAAATTGGAAGATGCCTCTTCAATTTAAGGTTTAGAGACTTAAATAAAGCACCTTCATTGCCGTTTGTTTTTAGTTTCATTGCCCCCGTTAATCAGTTGTAAATTATGCCCAAAGCAAGCAAAAAAGGCTAAGTTCGAGATAAATGCATATGCTATTCAAAGATCTAGCATAGAAAAATCAAGTTTTTTTTTTCAAGATAACAGTTAGTGCTTTAGAATGCAATATCGTTGTCAAGTGTCCCTACGTAATATATAACAGCTCTCGTAACATACTATAGAAAGCTCAACTGTCTTGCATGCCTATCGTACAAATACGAGTATTAGTGAAGTCGTAACTCACCAACTGGTGCCTTCATTAAACATGCGATTACAAAATGAAGTATTCAATCTCTTCGTTAAAGTAATTGAAATAATATTAATGTCACATTGAGTCTATACACATTTAGCAAGAGCAGGATTATAAGGTATTTAAGTCGCACGGACAGCGGACAGTTTTTCAGTTTAAGTTGTCGTGAGTGCCTCGTGTGCCTCCTCCATACGTTACTTCATGTTTAGGTGAGCTCCTCCAACTTTCTATAACAGCCGGTTTACCTCAAGTCACGAGGTGGATTTCAATAAGGACATGTCACAAGTCATGTGAAGCAAGTAACACCTTACCTGCTAGAATACGGAGAGTTCCGTGCTGAGTCCGGAGAGGGGAAATGTATAAGAAAAGGCGATATCAATTATAAATGTATTTTACAAAAAATAATTTACAAAACGTTAACAGTGAACACACTTATTTTAATATATTTCATAAGTCATATAAAGAAAAATGTAAAATACAATATAAATTTATTATAAGTGCTTTCTATAATTTTGATGTATATTTTCTAAATGTTTTGAGTTTGATTAAAATTTAGGTTGTTTCAACCACATTACCGCCAATCTATAATTATGCATACAATATATATATATAAAGCTGTCGCAGGAGTTCTAACACCAGACTGATTAATCTTGCTTGAAGTCTTTACTTGTCAATGAGCTTGTCTAAATTTTTTACAATTAATAATTCAGCCAAGAGATTATGACTCTTTATCACATTTGAATGAAGTTGTAATCATGAACATTAGAAATAAAAACTTTAGTTTATGAGAAACATTGTCAATAACAAATATACACGAACAATTTTGTACTAGGGCTTTTATGTTGCTTATGCCAAGACATGTTTTCTTCTGCTTCAACATCAAATTTAGCAAAATTATATAAACAAGTACCAGCAAAACAAGAAATCAAATGCATCTTTAACGGTGGAGGAAGACTGAGAAGTATTCGAAGTGGTTCCAAGCGGTTAATTTTAATCAAAACTTGAATAGAAAAATACTTGTTTTACAAAACAACTGGGTGGCGTTTCAACGAACACTAACATTATCTTTATTCTGTTTGAAATTGCTTTCTTTAACAAGAATTACAGGCATAAGCAGGAACTAATTTCAACACCGGGTTCTCATTAGGTTATTTAAATATATCTTGATTCAATTTATATAAATATTTTTTGGTGAATTCGTAAAAATAACCGTTGCATGTTTAATGGTTTGTTAAGTGAAGCATGGGTTTCTAGATCATCTTTAAATTATTCATTCAATGAGAATCATACATTTGCTAAATGAAAACTGGACCCGTTCGGTCTTAAAGCAAAATGATCATACAACAATATCGAGGACATAACTGAACAATATCGTCAGCGCCATATGTATAAGCATTACAAAATGAAAGACAGGAGAACATTGATCGACGAACGTCCTCCTGTCTAACGAACACAAAGTACTGCATTGTCAACAGCAAAAGCTTATAATAAAACTTCACAACGATCTGTAACATAAGCTGATCCTTACTGATTTCAAGTTTTGTCGTCCATCTTTGTCAACAACTTTTGTGTCGACGCATCATGTTCATTTAACTCAAATTTTGAGTCATCAAGGTCTTCTTGATCTTTAGACACAACCGGTACGTTTTTATTTTCATCATTATTTTCACTGTCTATATATTCCATTTCAATATGTCCATTGCTGTTAGATACATTGATATCTGCTTTTATTTCAGTGCTAGCTTTACCATCAGTTTGTGCGGTAACATTATTAACATGTTCAGCAAGTCCGTTAACCGGACCAGGAGTGTCATCATTACATTGTGCGGTGGATTTCTTTAAAACTTTAACCGTTGACTTCTTTGGTGGATCATTCTTTACTACATAATAGCGTAAAAACGACTCAGTTGAACGTCTCCCTTGCTGAAAAACAAGCAAACAAATCCAAAATTATATTGATAAAAATGTAAATAATTAATTGTAGATTTTGGATTTTTTCTATTCTTAATATTCAGAATTTATGACGAGGTTTGAACCAATGCGATATGATAACCATTCGGACATGCGACACCATCAAATGAACAAGCTTGTTACAAAGATGTTTTTTGTTTTTTTTTAAATATCATCCTATTTTTAATATTATCATTAAAATGATAAAAAAACTCTATAGCACAAGACTAAACCAGTGTTTGATTTTTTCATTGAATAAGATAAAATGGCAAACCTTTATAACACAGATGAAATGTTATTATAAAATATCAGTTTGAAGTATTTATGCTATGGTCATGGATGGAATATAATATTTTACTAGTAAAATAAAGTTTAAATAATCCGCTGCAGATTGTTTTTCTGTATTCATAATGATTTCTTGAATCTAATCTACCTATGTCATTATATTTTATAGCTATTATTTAACTTATGCACTTTTTATCATATGACGTTACGTAAAAGTCTCCTATTTTTCATATTGTAAAGTCTGATTACAAAACATATTTCACTCCTGTCAAAGTAAAGTTTATAATCTGCTTAATAATAGAAGCAATGCATTGATTCTCACCTCTACCACAAACTCTCTATCAGCTACTTCTAGTTTGAAATCAGATGTACCAACATGACCTGTGTTAATCCCGACAGTCCTTTCGATATCTCTCTCCTGAAAAGAATAAATATTTCGGAAATGACACATATATTGTTTGGTACAGGCAAGAGATATACTTTGGCAACTGCATAGATAAAAGTGTCTAAAATGTAATATGAATCGCATATAATTTACAAAAATTTTAGTCTATAAGAAACAAGATTTAAGGTAATATCTATATCTGTTTTTTGGTGAGTAATTCTTCTCTCTTTCGAACGTGATTAAAATTAATTGAAGACAGCTGCATTTCATTATTTAATATATTCAATAAATCTGACTGCATGTATTACATGATTTTCTCTTTCATGACTTTACTGGTGGAGGAAGATACAAGGTGCCTCTCCCAACACTATTTCAGGTTCAAGCATACGTGTTACCATGAAACATCAAGTTTTGGTTTAAACATATGTATTTAAGCTCGATTGCGAAACAAGTTCTTGCAACTTATATTATTCACTTTCGAGTCCGCTTCCTGGAACCAACCAGTACTGGAGTCATATGAAGATACATGGTCGTGACCCGATTAGGGCTCGAACCCATGATCCCTGAGTTGAGAGGCAGACACCTTAAAGATATACTATTCTCATCTTTGGGTTAAATATTTTTATCTTAGAAATGTATTGAAACCCATGAAATTCTTAATGAATATGTTTAATTTAAATAAAATAATGAATAAACTCTATATGGGTATCTTTATTCCCTATTACAAGTCGAGTAAAGTTGGTCTTTTCTAACCACTAGGCCACCGCTCCCCTTAAAACATCAAGTTTTAACACTCAAAACAATAATCTTACCTCTACGTGGATTCGTTTTACGTTGGTGAGCAGTGCTGATTGCAATGTGTCGAAAAATGAAAACAGTCCTTTGATTTCCTTTCTTTGGTAGCCAAGGAAACGGGCTTGTAAGGAGACACCAGTTCTCTCAATGAAATGAACTATTTCGTGATAATACACCTGTAAGATAAGATATTTAGTGATAGTACACGTGAAAACTATTTCGTGATTAGAACTTTAAATAAACCAAGATAATACACATAGAAACAAGAGCTGTCGGTAGGACAGCACGCTCGACTATTCTAAGTGCTTGATAGTAAAAGAGCCTTGATAACGTAAAATTTAGAGCTTTGATAATGTTAAATTTTCTAAGTTCACAAAAGGGCTAATTTTTTTTTATAAATTCATGTTATAGGCCTTAGAGACAGTCTAATTATACAGTATTGGCTTGACTATTCTGAAGGTAATGTCACAAGGGTGTTTTATTGAGTATAATAATACTAATTACCTATGAATACATAAAATTGACAGAAAACGTACAAAGGCTTGTAATTAAGATGTTTTATCAAGTAAATCACTGCTTTATTATTATGAATGCATATAATTGTCCCAAAAAAGGCACAAACCCTCAGTAATTATAGAGATAACAGCTTACAAGCAGAACTTTACCATGAATTTCTAAGTTGAAAAAGGGGAGGAAAATCAGCCTAAATGCAAGATAGAATTATGGATCTTTGTCAGTGACCTACAATTATGACCCTAAATGCATCTGTGAAGTTTTAAATAAATATCTTTAATAGTTATTGAGATATGTAAAACTTGCATGTAAACATTAACCAAGAGACTAAGTAGAAAAGGGGATATGAATCAGCCTTAATGCAGGATAGTTATGGAACTTGGTCAGTGACATACAATTATGACCCTCAAATTATGACCCTAAGTACATGTGTAAAGTTTCAAGTAAATATCTTTGAAGACCTTAAACCTTTAACCAAAATTTTCTAAGTTTCAAATTTAAGGGGCAAATAGTTCTGCAAATACTGCAGGCAGAGTAATGCAATTTTGCAAACTGATGTACATTGTTACTATAAAAAAGCATTTTAAATTTCAATTGAATATCTCAAGCAATAATTGAGATATTTGACTTTACAAAAAAACTTTTACCAAAATTTCTAAGTTAAAAAGGGGCATAATTATGTCAATATTGTAGGCAGAGTTATCCAACTTGTCAATCTGATGTACCTTGTTACTATAAATAAGTATTGTAAGTTTCAATTGAATATCTCAAGAAATAATTGAGATATTTGACTTTACAAAAAACTTTAACCAAAATTTCTAAGTTAAAAAGGGGCATAATTCTGTCAATATTGTAGGCAGAGTTATCCAACTTGTCAATCTGATGTACATTGTTACTATAAATAAGTATTGTAAGTTTCAATTGAATATCTCAAGCAATAATTGAGATATTTGACTTTACAAAAAACTTTAACCAACGCAGACGCCGACGCGGACGCTGACGCCGACGCCGACGCCGGGGCGACTACAATAGCTCTCATATTCTTCGAATAGTCGAGCTAAAAATAGTTCCTGATAGAACATCAGAAAATATTTTATTGCCATGATTATAGGAAAGATTGTGACTTCATATCCCGTCAGGGACAAGCCGTTCTTTCCTTCAGAATGAAACTACACTAAGTACTTGTTGTTTCTAGGATGGTTAATAAATTTGAAAGAAAGTGTGTCTATAAGCATATAGTTTCCTACACAAACAAACTGAAGTAATTTAAGTATAACCTAAACACTTTGGCTATCTTATTAGAGATAATAATATGAGCCGCGTCACGACAAAACCAACATAGTGTGTTTGCGACCAGCATGGATCCAGACCAGACTGCGCATCTGCGCAATCTGATCAGGATCCATGCTGTTAGCTATCAGTTTCTCTACTTGTAAAAGGGTTGGTAAGCGAACAGCATGGATCCTGATCAGACTGCGCGGATGCGCAGGCTGGTCTGGATTCATGCAGGTCGCAAACGCACTATGTTGGTTTTGTCGTGACGCGACTCATATAATTTTCAAGCGTATCAATTGACATTGACTTACCTCGCCATTCCCGTCTTCGTCAAGAGCCTCCATAGCTTCATCTACAGTGACATTTCTACCAAACAATCTCTCAACGTAACGCTTGGGGAACTCTTCTGTCTGCAAAATACAAACATGGTTATCTTATGTCACTAATCCTTAGCGATATGCCGCCAGTAAGTAACCAAACTGTCGTGACAATTAATGCGATCTGACAAGACTCTATAAATGTAGCTGCTCATATTTTATTGAATTTGTCCTCCCTCAAAATAACTATTCACAATTCCAAGATAATTCTCCGCGAATGTTACAATTGGCATATTTTCTTATTTTGATAGCTTTATCGTTCAATATATAACGTGTGTTTTCGTTGAGATGTACCTTTTCTATATGTTTGTTTTTCCCAAGCTGAACAAATTAATAATAGTATACTTTAAATAATTGTTGACTCAGCAAACAAGACTTATTCAAATGTTGTAAGAAAATAATCTTCATCTAAGCTACTACACTTACGTTTAAAATGGGATTCAAAATTGTGCTTAAATATTTTGGACCTAAATTTATTATGACTAACTAAATGTGATACATTTGTGCTGGGTTTATGTGAAGCAGGCATGGTAAATCTCATATAGCAAGACTTAACGGATGGGGGAGATATTTTGGTGCCAAGTTTAGCACTATTTCACGCACGACCCGGCACTTGAGTAGAATCACCAACCTAGACCAATAAGTAAACTTCCTCACATGAAGGAATCCAAAGTCCTTCACAAGAATTATATAATCATACTGACGAGCTTTCAAGAAGCCATTGTAAACAACCTAACCAAAACCGGATGCTATATTAAATTTTCATATAAAAATTAAGACTTACATCATTAAGGGCGTTTTTTTTTAACTCTGATTTACTTAATTTTGTCGGTCATTGTCTTTGTTGTGTTTCTTCAGCACCTGAAAATTAAAAGAATGATTGAAATAATTAAAAATAAATATTAACCGAACTCCGAATCACTAAACATGTGCACGGTAACAAACTTTAACAAACAAACTATTCCTATCCAGTAAGTTCGTAGATAGGGAAGACATAACCATGTTAATAATTCAACCGAATTTCGTCAATTCTTCAAAAAAATAATCATGATTGGTACTTGTTTTATTGAATGGAAAAGCTACAAATTTTAATCAATAAAAATCTTTTTGTTTGTTTTTTTTTTTCATGACAAATTGTTAAACCGGCTCATTTATAATTACATGTAATGTAAGATACATGTATATAAATTTACCTTCAGAAAAGCACTGACTGCATGAAGATTGCGTATGTGGTACCAATTTTACTTTCTCTTGCATTTTCTTCTTTCGTTAATCTTCTCCTCCCTGGAAAGATATTTTTCATTTTAAAAAATATGCAGAAATTATTTTTCCCACAAAAGTGAATAGATATTATATTAGATTTTCACTTGCGGTAAAGTTAATATGTAAAAAGGACTGTAAATTAGTGTTTTTTTTCCTTTTTTGAGCGTGTGGCCATCCACGTGAAAAAAAGCAATGATGTAAACAAACCTACTTATTACCTGTGTTTAAATTAAGTTAACCCATTACTTCAATATAAGACGTCTTTTTCACCCCCCCCCCCCCCCGGGATCAGTAGTGGTGTAACAATCAAAACGAAATTACAGCCCTTTTTTAAATACAGGAACGCCATTTGGCACGTGAACAAACGAAGGCAATACGTTTCTATATCTAATTATATTTTTTCAATAATAGTTTGGGCTATAATTTTTCTTTGTAAATTATAATGTTAAGTATTCCTTTGAGTAATTTTAATGAAATAAATTAGGCCTTTTTCTATAATTGTTTTTAATTTGATATTATTCGTAATGAGACCTATATGATCTATATTACATTAATTAGGCAGGGTACTCTTTTTCTGTATAATTTGTATTTAAGTTGATTAGCCCAATCATAAATAGCCGTAAGGGCCCCGTTGAATGTGCAAAGCATATATAAGGAGAGGTATTGCAAGGTGAGTTTCAAGTTCTTCCGACTTCCCCTTCGCGGGCCGTGCAACGTCGCTCGGAAGACAATAGGCCACACCAGATGGGTGACCTAAGTTAGGTCACAATAGCTGGTGTGACCTAACCAACGGCGAGGCGTGTGGCCCCCTAAAGAGGAGCTGCTGCTTTCCCCGGAAGAGGTGGCTTTCCTTTCTATTGTCAACCCCATTGTTCAAGAAGCGAAGAGATGGGTCCCTAGAGAAAAGGTCCAACGAACGAAACGACCAGCCAGAAAAGACCCCTCCGTCGCAGCTCTACGATCGACGACGGCGTTGCAGGGCGAATAAGTTCCCTCCGTTGGGCAGGCTTCTACGACCAGCAATCCGATCGTAACAGAGGCCGATTAGTCCTGGGACATATGGGAAGCCCGGCGCCAAGTATAAATAAAACTAAAACAACAACAACTGAGTTCAGTTGGGGTGTTGGGTGAAAGTCAGATTGTCAAACATCTTATGTTGGATGGCTTTAATTATACCTGCCTATATATAATATTGCCTGTTAATCCATGGTACGCTACGGAGAAGGGTTGCCAGGGCTTTTAATTAGTAAAAGTAAACCCCCGGGGGGTTGCAATGATGGACAATTTGTTTTGAGATAAATTTTAAACAAGAAAGCATAAAAATACGAGCATACTACATTGTAGTATTTTAACAAGGTAGGCATCCATACGGGACGTTTAATATGTTTAGAAAGGCAATCGAGACTTAGGAAAGGGTCTAGGATTGGGGATTGTTAAACAAATATATTCGCATAGTGTGTATTGTTTATTTATTTTCGTTTGAAATTTAAAGTTGATTGATTTTTATATTCCAAATCATTTGGGAAATCAATTGGGTCTTCAATCATTTAAATGTAAGGAAAAACCTGAGAAAAATTATTAAGTAATAAAATTGAATACAAATAATAACGTTATGTTTAAGCGCGTTACACGTTACACGTTAAAATGCTTTACCTAGACAACCAAACACTTTATTTTCGTTTGAGAAATGGTGTTAAAAGTGATAACTTTTTCGGCGCCATCCCCTAATGACAAATAGATACATCAAGGGGTGCCAGAAAAACGGGACGTGAACCCCTTCCCTGTTTTTTTTTTTTTTTTTTTTTTTTGTTTGTTTTTTTTTTTTTTTTTTGGGGGGGGGGGGGGCAGGGTTTGAAGGGTGTTTGAACAGATCACCTCATCTCAAGAAAACTTAAGAAATTGTGAGAGGCTAAAAATGGCCTCAGGGTCGACAATAAGGTAACGTGTAACCAACGCTGAAAAAGACTTTTTACTCAATCTCAATCCATTTTGAGAAGTTGCACGCCCTTTGAAATCAAATTTGGGATGGGAAAAATCAACGCAAAATAGTGATGTTTTGGGGAAAAAAATTTTTTTTTTTTTGGAGGACCCGCCCCTGTAATGTCGTTGCCAAATGGTTAGGAGGAAATTTTTAAGAATTTAGTATGCCGTTACAAAGGCTAGTGGTCCAATTAACAAATTGTGCCAAGCTGGAACAGTATTAAAAAAACCTTTTTTAATATTTATAGAATTTGAACTTTGAACATGTAACAGGAGGCTTTGTAACACCGCACTTTAAAAGGATCAATGCAACTTTGGGACAAATCGAGAAAATGACCCCAATGTGCGTTGATAATCTACATTGGTTTCCCAGAAAGTTCCTGAATTGTCAAACTGAGTTCTGCTTAAATACCAAGGTACATGACTTATTTTTGATATCCCAAACACTGCAATATTTTGAAATTTGGAAAGTCAAGATGAACGGTCGATTACTTAATATATACATCAATATTTCTAATGTCATTTAAATGCGATGTAAGCAATAAATTAAAATATGAGCCGCGTCACGGGACAAAACCAACATAATGCGTTTGCGACCCACATGGATCCAGAACCCACCCTGCGCGGTCCCGGACAAAAAAATAAAAAAAAAACAAAAAAAAAAAAACAGTCTGATCAGGATCCATCGAAGGGTTGCTTAACACTCTTTTTAACAAGTAGAAAATTGATGGAACAGCAATGGATCCTGATCAGACTGGACGGACCGCAAAGGCTGGTCTGGATCCTGCCTGGTCGCAAACGCCATTATTTGTTTTTGTGTGACGCGGCTTCATATTGTTTTGATGTTTTAAATTGAAATGTTTTATGAATGTATCTTAAAAATCGCGTTCTATATAACAAAAAAAAAGTACTGTTTGATGTCCATTAAAAACCATGCCATTTTGAAAATCAGACAAGATGTAATTTTCCCCGAAAATTACAAAATTACGTGATTGAAAAATTAAATGCCTGCCTAATCGGAAAACGTAAATTTTTCATTTAAATTTAATTAACACTTATGACTTGCTTCTTAAATTACTAATGGCACCCATTTTGGGAACCCCCATTTGAAATGTTTCATTTTTAGTAGTGTCAAGGAAAATGGGATTTTAATTTAGAATGGAAACATGTATGAACATGCATTCTCTACAATTTTGACCACAAAGCTAGCTCAGAAAATGTAATCAACTACAAGAATATTATTTTAAAACGTTCTAATTTCATTGGAACTGTTATGAACCCAAAAATGGGGTCGCCTAGTCTGATGTTATAAAAAATGCATATGTAACCTGGTGTACCGACTTTGGGATCAAAAAATTTTGACACCAAAGTGCGTTACGCTCTTTTGGGTTGTACCCCAAAAGTGCGGGTTGAACCCCAAAGTGCGGTGTTTACAAAAGGCTTTTCCAAAAAATGCTAATGAGTAATGGGATAAGTGGTAACGTCTTATAAAATACTTATTATTATAAATTAGAAGTAACTAGAAACTAGGTGCGCTTCATCAAAAGGTACAACAATATATATCAATACTTTTAAATTTCGGCTTTAAGTTTAATAGTTTCAATGTTTTGGCCTTTTTTCACTCCAACGTTATAATTGTTTTTTTTTTTAAACAATAATAACTTTGGACCATAAACAACATAAAAACCACAACTTTCACAGTTTGGCAAACGTCTACTATTTAGCTGAATGTAAATCTATGTTGCATTTAACATAGCAAAATATGAGACTGTATATGCATAAACTAGCAACAACTGTGAAAACACATTAAACAACACATCAAGTTCAATATCCCAAATACATCCCCACACTCCTCCAATTGCTCTACCCTTTAAAACGAGTTTTACTAATATAATCATTGATTTATAAAATGAACACTGTCTGTATCTGAAATTACTTCCGGCAAAGGATATTAACGCAAAATTACATCTTGCTTTCTTACGTTACATCGTGCTTTCTAACTTGTACATCTGGCATTCTGACTTTTAAATGTTGCTTTCTTACATGCCACATTATGGCTTTCTGCTTGTGTGCGTCTTGCTTATTGTATGTTGATATCTTTTTTAACAAGGAGCAACTTATTATTCCAATTTGTGTATATTAATTCCAATAAACTTAAAACCTGCAACTTTTTGTGAATTTGGGTCTATTTAACTCAGAGCTTTAAATGACGAATGTCATAAGGTAGAATGCCGCATAGTCGAAAGCCGAATGCAGCAAAGCATAATACGAGCGACATCTGGTGAAATAATATGTGACACCCAAATTAATGCTAATAGGTGGCACTACACTTTTTAATATCTTCGGTAAAGTCCGTATTGCGGTTCGGATTCAGTTTTAACCAAAAAGTTACGTCCCTTTGTTTTCCCCACTATGGAAGCAAATAAGGTAAACATATATACAAAACGATATAACCAATTTTTGTATTTATTACTGAAACTGTGTGGGTCAAATTATATTTCAAAAGCCTGAACAAATGACAAGTTACAACATTTCCAAATCAATGATTTTAAGAAGTTATTTTTTTAATCAACAAAACAATGTTGTTCAAAGTGTTTTGGTATGAAAGGTGATAGATTTCCGGATACTCCGTAATATTTTCGGGTAAAATTTCCGTTGGTTCCGTACAATGTTTCCCGAACTTTGCGCCAAAAGAGTGTAGTTTCCTGCCCTTGTTGTAAATTGGCACTCAGTGCGGTTTTTCCATGTATTAATTTATACATGTATAAACGATTACCATAGGTTTCCTAAATTTTTTGTACACATTTAAATGTAAGACAGTTTACGATCATTATAATTAAACTGAACTGTTTTAGCATCAAACAATAACCTTTTTAACCGTAGACAAAATTTTTAAGAGAGTCAAATAACGAACGATTCATGCAATTTAAAGCGCAACATGTGCGAGTCATAATTGCAAGATGTGCAAGCCAGAATGCATTGTGTGCATGTCATAATGCAAAATGTAATAGTAAAAATCCAAGATGTACAAGTCAAGAAAGCAGAATGTAACGTAATAAGGCAAGGATGCAATTTTTTGCGTTAATATCCTTCCATATTTTCACACTTCTTTTATTAAATAAGTAAACCATACATATCGTTCAACAGTAGATGAAAATGAATGCATAATTTCATTTCTACCCAACATACATACATGGAGAATTGATTAATAAACTTCTGGGCCATTTTTTTCTTAAAGCAAAAGTGATTTGATTTGTGACGCAAAACAAAACGCGTCTGATATCTTACTAGTTATATATAATTATTTGATTAGTTTTTGCAATTTTAAATTTTGAGGAACGGTGATTGAATCAAAGGCCTTTGCCTTTTACTTGAATACGTTTTAATGTGCAATTAATTCATACAAAATTTTACCTATTTTTGATATTTTTTATATGTATATTTCAGTCCTATACACCCTTATGGCTATTTTATTTAGAGAATTGAGCAAGCAAATTAATAGAAGCACATTTCATTTCAGTACCGCAAAATAACAATCCACATAAAACATGTATGTACATTGAAAATAAAATAAACATGCCTGTTGAGTAAGTTAACACGCTGAATAAAAACAATTGACTGTTAATACCTTCTAAGAACTCACCTGATGAATTCGCTGCAAAACAATTTTCATTATTTTGCAAAGACATAATAATTCACATATATGCACAATCTATTATTACATTGGCCCCTATTTCTCGGGGGGAGATCGGGAAATAGCTAGGTAATAACCCTAGTATTATTTTTTTCCGGACTGACCGGAGTATCTGGTGGGTTTGTTTCAACCTGCAGTAAAAGGTTTTCAGCGGAAATTTTAACATCCGATTATCCCTGCAAAGAGGAGCCTGTGAATACAAACACCGAAAGGCATGCCGCCCATCAGTGATGGGAGATCCCAGGTTATAATTGACTTAGTAAATAAAAGATAAATAAAAGATTATAAGAAAAAAAAGCTGTGAAACGTTTAAGATATTAGTAAAATAAATTACAATTGAATATTTGGGGAGGAAAGCAGACAACATTTATAAATCTGAAAGAAATGCGCTTCTATTGCTTTTGTTATTTTAAAAAAATACACAGTATAGCTTTAACTTACTTCGCTAGTTTTGTGTCTGGAAAGGGAGGTAAGTCTACGCCGAGTCTTTGTTGTAGAATATCTCGCAAAATGTCCCTTTCATTATCGGCATACTGTGAAAAAGAAATTAAAAGTTTATATTTCTTCAGTAAAACGCATACCAATTAAAACAATCAAATAATATACCAAGAATGCTTTCACTCGGTTACCTGATGGATTCTGGAATAGTTATTAAAAAGTCGGACCGTAAAAGACGGGTGAAGACATTTCAACATCACGAGTTCTTACTTGCAGAATTTACCATTTCAACATATCTGACGACCATTGTCTGCTTTGGTCAAACTGGACGGAAGCTATGTTATGTTGAAAGTATAACTGAATAACTGAAGAAACAAACTTTATATGATAAGTGTTTGTATGCACTTGTGCTACGAACACTTTATTATGTTTTTGTTTATCTTTTATATATTCTTTGTAGTTTTAATCACATGCATGTAATATGCCATGATTAAATAAATAAACTAAACTAAACTGTACGTAAACCGCATTGCAATCTGGCATATTAAATTCATATTAAACGTATTAAATGCTATGGTGATAAATTGCAAATGCGTGCAGACAAACTATTTATATCCCCTTCACTAACATTGAGCAGTTCTACATTCAAAGAAGGATGAGTCCATTCCACAAAGGACAGCAGCGTTCATATTTCACAGTATGTATTTTGTAAAACTATAACTTACTAGAAGGAAACCTAGCGTAGTCTCATTGTATGTACCGAACCTCTCTTTCTTTTCAAACAGTTTGGGAAAATTCTCCAAAGGTTGTAGTTTGTTTAGAAAACTGTCCTCCATTTTCATGGATAGCCACCATCCTGTGAACATAAAATATTTTCATGAAGATATGATTTTATAATTACTTATTATGCTCTATAAAATTATCGTCGGAACCCACGTGTACTGATTTCACTGCACTACATTCATGAGAATGAAGTGTACAAGTAACTAGTACCATGGGTTACCGAAGATGCAGTCGAATATCATTTCTTCAGTGATTTGAGAAATTAATTTATAAATAGAGGATATTGAATGAGTGTAAGTTTAATACTGAATTTATAGAACGACTTGAATAAAATCATAATATGCGAGCATAGTATTATTTTATTCAACGTGTTCAATAAATTTATTATCAAACTTACACTAATTTAATACGCGGAAAGTCCGAGCGGGGTCAAAGGCCCCGCGAGGGCTGTAGCGCTCTTAGATAACATGTATGACGCGTATCAATCCAAATGAAATCAAATTCAAACTAAATGAAAATTTCAAAAAAAATATATCCTATACCTAATGAGCTGTGAAAAAATCCTTAGTAAAATGGGCGCCGCCATTTTGAAATCCCTTTGAGCTAAATATAGATATCAGAGTGCTTTTAATGAGCGACTGCATAATTCAGACTATTGCTAGCAGACGCATGCTAAGTAACACTTCCGGTGAAAGAATGATGTACAAAATCAGAAAATAAACCTGCATTTCATTGATATGAACTATAGTAACGATTATATATTATAAAGTTTCTTTAACATATCATTTTTGATAAATTAGCACATTAAAAATAACGTTAAAACAACAACTGTCATTAGAGATTAACAAAAATGGCAGACGGGATTTTCCGAACGCCGACGCATGCGCAGAGGTTCCCCTTTACGTTCGGAGATATTCGGAATATTCCGTGCGCTCCGATGATAGGTTAAACACCACTAATTTATTCGTTTTTGTTTATGGTACAAAATATCTTCAAGAAAGATCTGGTTTACATGTACCCTAATATGTTATGCTAAAATCATAATTCATAGGAGCTTTCCGCGCCATAGGTAGCACCTAATTTCATATTATTCTATTTATCACATTCCAAAAATAAAGACTGTATGAAGTGATAAAGAACCATTTTTAATTGAAGTGCCTATAGTATAACGTTAACATTTAGCGCTATGTTTGTATAACGAAAATGACGTCACGTTAAATATATGCACAGCCGTGCAAAACCATTTTTACGGAGTCGTAAAAGCGGCATGGGTATGTGATATATATTTATAGCAAACACCAAAATTTAATATGCCCATATTTAATTCGTAAATAAATCTTAAATATCTGTGCTCAACAATCCAAAATATAATTTGACTCCAAAATACATTTTGAAAATGTTTCATTTTTTCTTATACTCGTTTTATGACTTACATTCGTTTAATGATAGAAATGAGACGAAACCTTCAACTTTGATATGATATTTCAGTATGAAATAGTTCCATTTAAAATGAAGTAATATGATATAAACGGTATCTCATTACTTTCGTGATTATAATAGTTCTTTGATTTATTGCTGTTTTTTATCTGTATTTATATGTAAAAAAAAATTATTTGTAACTATTATAATAAAACCATTGACGCGGAAAATATTTCAAAGCATTATTTATGATGCTCAGGGTAACGATATATAGCTTTCCCATTGATATAAAAATTTGAAATAAGATTATCATGTGGTTTCCTTTTATTGACAATGACATTGACTTTTGCCCTAAATAAGAAATTAGATACATCATTTGCTTAAATTTTGTAAAACGCAAGAAAAACACACACTAAAAAATAGCAACAACAACACAGATGATAAAATTAGCTTAAGGTCTTCAGCGTACCCGTTTATATACTATGACATGACATATAAAAACAAAAATGTTAAAAAGCGGCTTATAAAGTTTTGGAAGCCAGAACTAATGATAAAATATAAGTCTCAATCTCAAAAAGAGTTAAATGCATCATACTATAGTCTGTCCCATTAAAAATGGAAATGAACTTTTGCCTCGTGTGAATTAACAAAACGAGGTTGAATAAAAATTAAACTATTTTTGTAAACTAAAAAAAAGTCACCCTCGAGATTTTTCAGGATTTTTCTCTAAAGTGTCTACTTTTCTTGTGAAAGCAAATTTTGATTTCTCTATGGCAAATCCCTGTTGTTTATTTTCCGTAGCCATTGCCGAAGTACTCTTCATTTTGTAGTACCGTATGGTAAAGGTTCCGGAAGTTAACGAAGTCTGACGAGCTTACCGGAAGGGGTAGTTCCGAGCATACCGGAACTAGTGAGGCAGTCCGGAACTGATAGCTGAGAGTACGACGCCATATTGGTAGACGTTACTTAAAGTCATTGTTATCTGGCAGATTCTGTGCAACTACAGACCATCCAAGGAAGGTAATTGCTTTGATTGTATTTACAACCCTTTGTAATCAATCTGCATAAGTTCTATATTGGTGGCAGCGGTTTTTTTTTTACGAATTCCGCCCCGGAAAATCTTCGCTACCATTAAAAAATTTTTTCCGTTAGTGTAAGAATTTGCCCTCAAATTCTGCACTTGTAGAACGAAGTATACCTAAATTCTTGGTATTGTTCATAGTAGTCCAATCTACTTGAACGATTTAAACCGGAATTTGAGTTGGAATCTTCGTAGTTGAGCAGGAATTGCCATATAATTCTGCTTGATTGAACGAAAAATTTTGTTGTTTTTTTCGGATTTACTTTTTATACTGCTGCCACTGGTAAAGTTATCTATTAGGTAATTTTAGTCCCTCGTTCCAGTGTATCCTTTTTGCTATTTATTTAAATAGCGATAGATATTATTGTTTGAATTGAACCCTTTCAATTTAAAGGAATAATTTCTGTCGGTTCATGGAGGGGGATTTGCTAAAAAGTGAATCCTTAGATTTTGAGTATCCACAGGATGCAGAGGTTAGGCATTCACCCTTGAATGCTATGTCTGGGAAGCCACCCTTGGTTTCCATTAATTTTGCTCCTGTGGACCAGTTACGGACGATTCCGCATGTGGGTACAAGCCTTGCCAAGGCTATTGTAGCCGTGCGGGAAAGCTCTGGTAACATTACCAGGGAAGTTTTACAGACAATCTGTCGACGCAAGTTCTCCCCTGAGATGCTTGCTCAGATAGATTTTACAAAAAATAAGTCTCTCTCGACTGACCGCAGTGGCGAGCTAGACCATTCTAGCTCGGAAGACGAGACAGATGAGGAGGCAGATATTAAACCATCTGCACGAGATTGGACAGAGATGGTAAAGGTGGTGAAGGCGGCGACATCGGTCCTTGCTGCACATAAGCAGCAGCAAAAATCATCTGATAGCACCCTTGCATCAGCTGATCAGACTTTTGCCAAGAAAAGTCTGACATTAATGTCTCCTGCGGATTTTACTTCCAAAAAGGTAAAACCCACACTCCCCCCAACTTTACCTAAACCACGCTATACCACTCCTAAACGTACCATACGTTTCAGGAATATAGTGGATAGTGATTCCGAGGATGATACCTCGGTTGTTCCAGTGTCATCTGTTCCTGGTCGCAAGGGCCGTAATCCAATTTCGGCTCTTCCTAAGCACTTGTCTTTCGATGGCAGGACCCCTTGGGAACCGTTCTTTCTTAAGTTTGCCCGCTATGTCCAACAAGGCGGGTGGACTGAGGATGAACAGTTAAACTGCCTCGTATGGTGCCTGAATGGAAAAGCGCTGGAATACTATGCGCTTATCCATGATCAGGAAGGATATCTTACCTACCAAGGTTTGGTAGCAAAGTTGGCTGCTCGATTTGGCCAACATGAGTTACCAGCAGCCGCACAGGTAAGATTTCAGAATGCGGTTCAAGAGACTTCAGAGTCCCTGGAGGAGTGGGCCGACCGTGTGCTCACTCTGGGTTATAGAGCTTTCAGGAAGCTCCCAGAAGAATTTGTCACTGCCCAAACAGTGAACAGGTTCTGCCAGGGTATGGTGGATAAAGAGGCGGGCCATCATGTATGCATGCAGCAACCCGAGTCTGTGCATGCAGCAATACAAATGGTCCGTCAGTATCAGCAGGTCCACTCTGCCATGAACGGTGACCGGAAGAGAAAACCTGAAAAGCCGGAAAAGGTTTTCGCTGTTGCCTCCCAGCCATCACGGGAGCAACAGGATATGTCTAAGGGTGATCTAAGCCAAGCTCTAGATGACCTTGAGAAGCGTTTGGCAAAAACCTTTTTGTCAAAAATGTCACGTCCTCGCAATCGGACCACTGGCTGCTACCATTGCGGCGAGAAGGGCATTTTTAAACGTAAATTGCCCAAAGCTTAACGGCGACCATAAGCCGTTAAACGACAACGGGACGGGGAAAAAGTAGGTCATTTCTCGTCCCAGTCTGCAGACAAGACCTTCACTGTTAAAAGATCCGGTTGGCTGCCAACTTCAGCCAAGTAAGCACGGGGGGAGTCGAACCAGACCCTGTTGTTGTATGTCAGGTAAATTCCTCCTCTCAGTTTACCATGGGGGTCCAAGTAGGGGATTTACCAGTAACAGCAGTGGTTGATACTGCTGCCCAGGTGACCATCATTTCAGATAAGGTCTACAATTCCCTGAAGCACAAACCTCCCAAAATAAGCGGGATGTGAAGCTGCAAACCGCAGCAGGGAATTGTCTATGGCAGCATTCGTAGCCGGTCCGATGAAGCTGAAAGTGGCACCAGGTATCAGGTCACATAGCTCCCAGTTGGCACAAATCTGTGGTTTTGATTTGCTCCGCCACCCCGGTAATCGGTGTAGGATATTCGACAAAGCAACGCTATGAGGATGCGGCATCTCCCTAAGACATTCATCCGATGTCCCGTGATCAGGCACGGGTCTAAGAGACAAGTTATCCCCACATTCGTAACAAGTCCAATGCGTTCATTACCCCTGCCCAGTACATGTAACCGAATCAGAAGAAATTTGGCTCCCGTGTTACATGAACACAACACCCTGTGTTGTGTTGATAATCCCATGCTCGCCTCGTCAAAGGAACCGAGATGGCGGCAATCATCATATTATCGAGAATGGTTGATGTTGAAACATATTCGATCAACGAAGTGTTTGAAACATCAGGTGCGGTTGGTCAAATACCACCACACCTGCAGGAGGTCTATGATACCTCTTGTGGCAGCCTTGACGAAGATCAACGGCTCAGTTGCGCAATTGCTTATTGAGTTCCAAGATGTCTTCGCCAAGAGTGAGTTTTGATCTTGGTAGCTTCACTGACGTAAACATTGTCATTGATACTGGGGATGCAAGGCCTGTAAAGCAACGTATGCGGCGTACGCCGGCATGCTTTGCAGGGGAAGAAGAGGCCCATCTTCAGAAAATGCTGGAGGCAGGAGTCATACAAGACTCTATATCAGATTGGGCATCCGCTCCAGTTTGATCCGTAAACGTGACGGCTCTGTGCGCTATTGCATAGACTATAGGAAATTGAATGAGGTTACAGTCAAAGACGTGTATCCTCTGCCTTTAGTCGATGATTGCATGGACACAGTTGCTGGCAGTGTATGGTTTTCGAAATTGGATGCCAATTCTGCATACTTCCAGTTAAAAATCCGAGAAGAAGACAGGAAAAAAGACTGCCTTTATTACAAGGTACGGTCTTTTTGAGCATGTTCGCATGGCTTTTGGTTGTGTGGCGCCCCCGCTACATTTGCCAGAGCGATGAACTTAGTTCTCAGAGGCTTAACATGGAAGACTGTCCTGGCATTTCTAGACGATATTATCGTGCTAGGACGCAGTTTTGAGGACCATCTCTCAAACCTGCGTGAGGCCCTTTCGAGATTTCGGAGGCATAAGCTTAAGCTGAAGCCAAAGAAATGTATCTTCTTCCAACAAGAAGTAGAGTTTCTGGGCCGAAAAGTGAGCAAGGACAACATTGCTATGACGGAACATGACATAGCTGTTGTGACTGATTGGCCTGTTCCAAACAGTGCCAAGCAGGTTGAAAGGTTTATGGGGTTGGTCAACTATCATAGAGGGTTTATAAAGGACTTCTCTAGGATAGCGGCCCCATTGTACGCCGTCACAGGCAAAGCCAACTTTGTCTGGGGCGAAGAACAAGCAGAGTCATTCAGGACTTTGAAGTGCTTGTTGACGCAACCTCCGGTGTTAGCATTGCCTAACCTGACTGACAGCTTTATCCTGGATACGGATGCCTCCAATGATGCGATTGGAGCAGAGCTCTTGCAGGTGCAAGATGGCCAGGAGAAGGTTGTCGCGTATGGTAGCTATGCTCTCACCAAGGAGCAACGCAGGTACTGCGTGACCAGGAAAGAGCTGCTAGCAGTGGTTCGGTTCACCAGACAGTTCCGACACTACTTGCTAGGCAGACCATTTGTGGTTAGGACTGACCATTCCAGTCTGAGATGGTTAATGAACTTCAAGGAACCACAAGGGCAACTGGCGAGATGGCTTGAAGAGCTGTCTCAATTTAACATGGTTTTGAGACACCGTGCAGGCCGTGAGCACTCCAATGCCGACGCAATGTCAAGAATACCACTGCAAAGTGGGACATGTCGAGGCTGGGTTGCTGGTGCACGCCTGGATCAGTTGCCTTGTGGTGGGTGTGTTTATTGTAAAAAGGCCCATGAAAATTGGGAGAGGTTTTTTACAGAAGTAGATGAGGCGGTACCATTGGTCATAAAACCAGGGGGGGGGGCATGGCCCCAGGTTTGAATGCTGGTTTGGGTGACCATGAGGGTGCCGGGGTCTCTGCCATCTACGGGGAAAGTGAGGGTTCAAATGACCTATCAGACACGAATGGCCAGCCGGTCCTTACCATTGGGGTCGGTGATCATGGTCAGCAGGGTCTCTCTGAAGGCCAAATCTTCAGTAGAGATAAGACCTGTGTTGAGAGTGGTTGCCAGGAAGAAAGAACCTGGGACATCAGGACCCTTCCTGATCCCGGGGATGTATTAATGCTGGCACAAACTTTGGAATATATCCCATGGGACATGCATGGCATGTCTAGAGGGGATGAAGTTGCTAGCATTAATATAGTATCCACCAGGAGATCAAAGCTTGCTACCAATGCAACGCCTTCTGATCAGGTGGGAGATAAGGAGAAAGATAGTTCTCCTGTGGTTACTAATCCAGTGGACAGGCCTAGTGACAGTGAAGCCCTGCAAAGTTGGGGTTTTTCTGTGGATGAACTCAGGGAGGCCCAAAGCCGTGATCCTGAGTTGAAGCCTGTACTGGATTGGTTACAAGATGGGACAGAAGCTGACCCTTCAGCTCTGTTTCAGTCAAGTCCAGGCACTAAGTATTACTGGTTAACTAGGGGTTCGATGCTCTTGATTGACGGTGTGCTATATCAAACTGATAAACACACTGATGACAAGAGGCTTGTGTTACCTGGTGTTTATAGGCAAGAAGCACTCGCTTTGAATCATGATTTGCCATCGGCAGGTCATCAGGGCGAGTCTCGGACAAAAGACCGAATTAAAGAGAAGTTTATTTGGTACAGTCTTGGTAAGGATGTGGCTAGTTATGTTTCTGGTTGTGCTGTGTGCAACCAAAACAAAAAGACAGCACATCAGGGGAAATGTCCTTTAATCCAATTTAGGGCAGGCTCCCCAATGGAACGTGTACATTTAGACTTCTTAGGTCCTTTGCCAAAAACACCACGGGGTAATGAGCACGTACTCATGATGGTTGACCAGTTTACCAAGTGGGTGGAGTGCATACCAGTCCCCAGTCAGTCTGCCGAGGAAACTGCTCGCACGGCTGTCGATCAGTTCTTCTCCAGATTTGGTATGCCATTTGAGATCTTCTCTGACCAGGGTCGCAACTTCGAATCCAAGTTGTTTTGCGAGTTGTGTAAGGTTTTAGAGATCCATAAGGCCCGTACAACACCTTATCGACCTTCCGCCAATGGACAGGTGGAAAGGTATAACAGGACTCTCATGGATGCTGTCCGCTGTTTTTATAGGATAAATCCCAGAAAAACAGTGGGACTTGCACCTTCAGCAGATTTGCTGGAGCATTACAGGTCATCCGTCAATCGAATGACTGGTTTTACCGCCAAACATGATGATGTTGGGTAGAGAGGTAAATACTCCGGCAGACGTGATGTTTCCACCAAAACATCGTGAGCGAGCAGTCACACACAAGACTACCTGTTCTGTCCGCTTTATTTCCCACCATGGAAAAAGCCCATTGAAACTACACTCGTCAGTCGTATGAACGAAAACCCCTTCAAAAATCGTAATGGAAAGCGTGAAAATGTATGATCTGCGCGACCTTTGAGAGGAAACTATCAGTGGAGATTGTCAGTTTATTTGCTGGACACTGCCACAGTGAAAGGCAAATGTAAGAAATTATCTCCTCCTTGGAAAGGCCCGGGGGTTATTGTCTCTAAGCTTTCCTCTTACCATTTTAGAGTAAAGCTCCGTAATGCGGTCTTTGTGGTAAATCACGACCGTGTTAAACCTTGCAGGGATAGGGATTTACCTCGCTGGATAAAGGTGTTTCAAGAGCACCCCAGTGATGATAAGGGAGCGACTGGTGATGATCGTGTGTACTGCTTTTGTCGCCAACCTTGGCAAGGCAGATTTATGATCCAATGTGATCACTGTCAAGAGTGGTACCACGGTTCTTGCGTTGATATCACGCAGACTGAAGCTTTTGACATCAATTTATATAAGTGTAAGGATTGTATTAAACGCTCTAAGAGGGTTGATACATAACCAACCATTTGATTTTTTGTGTCATTACAGATGTCTGCAGAGAAGATCCTGTCCAATACACAGGCAAAACGGCTAATTCCGCCCTCGGAGTTAGCCAGTTTGGTGACTGCCCTACCTGACAAGGCCAAAGCTATTGAGGCTTTGTTGGGGCAGGTGGACCTAGCCAAAAGGTCCAAGAAGAAGGGCTGGGCTAAAGGTTTAGCCAGGGAATTGGACAAACTCCAGTTCCACAGCCATTCATGGATTAGCCAGTATGTCCATGAATTGCCAGCTACCAAAAAGCTGGTGTGGAAGGAAGATCCAACAGGGACCTCCAAAGACATTCGCCTGGCTATTGACCCTTCAATCCAGGTGATTCGCTCCGACTGTGGGACCAAATCCCACACGTCGTCAGAGTCCATCGCCCTGTTGGATGAGTTCGACATGGAGGTAGAAGTGGAGTCTGGGGATGAGAGGAAGTTGCTGGCCAGTCCACCCTGTTCACCTCTCAAGCCAAAGCCAGTTAGCCCTGTCAAACCAATTGTCCGGGCTAGCTCCCCAAGGAAGTCCTGGGCTGAGGCAATGGAGTTGGAGGTCCCTCTAACTCTTGTAGCCACAGCAGCCCCTCCATCGTCGGAGACTGTGACCATAACACAGTCTGCCGGCCCAGAGGTCAATACGTCCGAGTGTTGTTGACCTTCAGGGCCTATCAGAGAGTAGCCCAAAAGCCGAATTGGCGTGCGTCGCAGCGTCTCCTGCAAAGTTATCTCAGGAAAAGGCCTCTGCTAGTTCTGACCAACCCAAAGGTCAGAATAAGGACCCTAAGAGTAGGAGAAATCCGAGTGGCCAAAACACTCGGAGGTCACACTACTCTGGGGGTGAGCGCCTTGACCGGAGGAGACCTGCACCGACCACTGGGGACCATGGCTCCGCTCCGAAGGAAAAGCACTCCAGGGTAGTGCCCGCCAGTGTCCCAAAGACATCTCGGTGCCCAGTGCCGGGTTGTTGTGGGAATTTCACACAAAAGCATGCCATGGAGGCCCACCTCCCTGGTGTCTTTTGGCTGTGTGTTAGTGGTGAAAGTGTCACCAATAGAAGGATAGGGGCATTGAAGCTAGTGGTCAGGTGGCTACTAGGGTTTAGCAGTACTTTGCTGAATCTTGTGGTTTACTTGGAGAGTGTTGGTGTGCCGGTTTCCCATGAAACCTGCTCCAGCGATCTCCAGAGGCGCAGCCACGAGTTCCTGTTGAGGCTCTATGCCCTGTACCCGAGACCCTCTCAAAAGAAACGAGGTTAATGCTGACAAATTATTTCACCCTAAGAACACCGCCAAGAAGTGAAGCGCTTAGAGAACCGAACGGGCCGCGCCACTGACTGTTCGACTGGCGCTGTAATATTGGCCATGGTGACTAGGGGGATTATTATTCAGTGACTTGTTTGCTGAATTCTTTTGGGTTACTTGGAGAGGTTGGTGTCTGGTTTTCCATGAAACCCTGCCTCCAAGCGACTCCAGAAGGGCAGCGCAACGAGTGTCTGTGAGGCTCTTTAGGTGGGCCCGTACCCGAAGACCTCAGTCTAAAGAAACGAGGTAATGCTGTTAAGACAGTATTGTTGCAGTGGGCCGTTGTTCTTCTTGACCTAGAGTTTCACAATGGTTGGAAAGGAACATTCAGGAAGAAGTTTGATCCATGTTCGAAACTGTTCTCCTTGAAGATGGAAGGAACTCATTCTGGAGTGTCCCGCCACATTCGCAATTTTGACGCAGGGAGCCCCTGCAAGTCTAGAGGAGATTGTACACTCAGTATATTGATGAAGTTCCTTTCTCTTTCAGGAGACAGTTCGAATAAGTTGGATTTATCAAAACTGGTTCTTCACCTGGATGTCTGTCCAACATTGAAAACCAACAGAAAGCAACGGCGCACTGCAACTATACCCACACACCTATGACCCCCTAATCAAGAGAGTAATCTATTCCATCATTCAAAGGGCTGCCGTTTGTCAGCTCCGCGAAGAAAACGGCTTTCCCGTGACTCGACAAGTGAGACGGAATTCACGCGACCAAACTCTTCACCAGAGCGTCATAATGAGTTACACCAAGGGACAAGCACCACCATATCAACGTTGACAGGAATGCAGATGTTCACTGCGAGGCATTGACAGTAAAAACACACTCATGAGAGAATTCTACAAAAGCATATACTCTTTTCTTTTTCAGCCTGCGCAAATCACGATGGTCGTGGTCACCATTAGAGATCTGCGATAGTATGACTGATGGGAATCATTTCATTTTGGCTCTAACGGGCGTTTCTAATCAGTAGAAAACATCATTTTCCTAATACTCCTTTAATAATGTGGTCTGATAACGCCCTTAACTGGTGTGAGCCACTGCCAAACCTGGAAGAATCGACGACGATTCTTGGAATACACACTTGAAAATATTTCATGACTTTTATCCCGCAACATTGCCCCTTGGTCATGGTGGTTGGTGGAGAGAAGACTTATAGTCCATTATCCGAGAATGTATCAGGAAAGTCTTTTTGGAAATCATTAATAAGACATGGAAGTTCTCGTACACTCTGTAACAGAAATGAATGCATTATCATTGACCGCCCTCGTGTACATTGATACATATACAAGATACCAAGATGAAGAGCCTTACACCATCGCATCTACTATACGGGCGTAGGAATTACCGTCCTTTATTTATCGAGACGACTGAAGATCCCACAACACAAGGAATTTAACCCAAGAATCGGCCTGTGATATATTGTTCAGATGTTAGACTGCAACGCTGATCCATATTTGGTCAAGATGGGAAACACGAATACGCTCACAGCTGTTGCGAAGAGTTTCACGAGAAAAATCTTTGGCATCCTTAAAAGAAACCGATAACGGGTGACAATATCAATGTTGTGACGCACACGGACAAGAGAGTACGTGGTTCAAGATTACAAAGAGCGCTCGAGGTTATTACCACGGAATCGCTGGTCATAGGAAATTTAGAAGAGTGTAGTAACTGTGTGTGGGCACTAGAACATATTCGAGCAGCCCGTGTTAGATCCAGACGAGGAATTGACTACTCGTTCTATGCCCGAGAGCAATGTACCCACTGAAATTATTTCCAGTAACATTGTACACGTGAATCACGTGCATTGCATCGTGGGGCCCACCAATTTCTCCGCGCATTGGCCTTTAAAACATAAAGTGACATTTGCAATGGGTTATAATTATAATCAGTGAAACTTTACCGCGTTAATTCGAGTAACGAGTATCACTATCACTGATTTTGAAATAATTGCATAGTGGTTACTTCAGAACGTGTTTGTTTATGAATTAATTGATCGATCGAACTTGTAATTTAATTCAACTGTAGATAATATTTGATTTTCCCCAAAGTTTCTTAAGTTACTATACTTCATTCATGAATTTGCCAGTGTGTGTACAATTGATTATTTATTTAATATGATCGTTGAAGCAAGCATTGTGAGCCCCGGAGTGACCCACACTCCCCAGCCTGATAACCTGGTCCAAAGCGTCGATATACGTGACAATAATTGTTATTTGTCTGAGTTATTGCCGCCAAGTGATTAGCGCTTCTTTTGTGCGTGACGCGCCTTATTTATATGTTATTGTATGACGTCGGATTATAATGAGTTGACTTCCGGTCGGTAATCAGATAATAAATTCAACGATTATTGAAGAACCACAGTCCAATTCTTTTGTCATTACTCTTAGTGTTTCACACAAACACAGTTCGCCATCCTATGACCGTGTGCATGAGTTGTTTCGAGTGCGATAGTTAAAAAGTTTAACATGAAATTAAAACATTGAACCTGGTAAAAAGACTAATAACATTGCTACTGTTCTTTGAGACATATTGCTGGTACAATTTTTATCAGGGGAATGCTGCAATATCGGGCTAGCAGAGGTCGCTTGATAAGTGGCGAGTTCTATAGTTCTGTCCATATCAGACGAGTCTGAAAAAAATGATATCAAACGACAGTACGCATGTTTTTCTTTTTTGCATGTAACATATAAAACTGTCAAAGTTACAAACTTATCTATTTTTAGATAGCAAATTTGTTGAATTGGAGCATTTTTGTTCTAAGGAATATCATTGGATTTATGCAAAGCAATTCCGTGTGCCTCCTGAACTTTGAAAATTCAAAGGCTGATAAAAACTCAGAATATAAGCTATTAATAAAAATAGTCTGCTTTGTAAAGTTGGTCTTTTCATTTTTCACCAGTTTCTGGTCCGGCCAACGCCTTTCAACTGGCTTCTCTGTGATATGAACGGGGCATTGTTTTATTTCCCCTTAAATCCATTTATTAGTGGATCTGAAACCCATATGGTATGTGGTTATTTGCCCAATTGCTTGATATTTGTAAGTTAGGATACTTAGTTCTTCTCAAGAAATTACTAGCCCAGAAGGGCTCTATTCTAAGTTATCTTACCCATAATAAGGTTATAAGTCATGCAGTAGCTATAAAATTATGTGTTTCTTATTACATTCTTAATATTTTTGAAGGAGTCTGATTATTCCCAAATCAGGCATACGTGAAACGACTGAGGGGGAAAAAGGTATATCAATATGTCTGATCTGTATTGAATATTTATTATATTCAATCTCTCTCAATCTTCGCTTAACTTTCTACGGTACCAAGTTGATGAGTTCGCGTCACAATATGTGGCCCTTTGACATTGCTGATTGTAAGAAATTACTTTCTGATGAGCGGGGAAGTATTATAACTATCATGAAAACAATAAGATCAAGCTGCTAATATGTATACATATGGGTATTTTCAATAGTGTTTTAGTCTCAGATAATTCGGAATTATTCTCAGACTAATAGTCCATTGAGAATAATATGTCTGTAAATTATTTAGATATAATCGAATTGTCGCCCACATTATTGGTTTTCAAATTCATAAGTTTCCAAGCTACAGCCTTAACCATAGGCCCGCCACAGTTTGTCACACACAAAATTGTTAAAGGAATAAAAACCTTTAATAGTTTTTTATGGGTAGTCCGAAATTTGTTGTTGATACCTCTCTTACACGTCCATATATTAATGTGAATAATAATTATGGTAGAAGAGTTCTGTTCAAGCCAAGTTCGTGAATCACTGGTTGGAAACTCAGATTGCATTGGCACCGATCATTTCTAGTGTGTTCTAAATGACACTATGCTCAATTTTTCGTGACATTCCTACCCAAGGCTCCCAGCCGAATGTTCAGTTTTGAACTGAGAGACTGTTGATGCGACCTACGTACTTTGCCACATCAGCACCAATTTCAAAAGATTGACTATTATTATTGCTGATTGACCAATGATTGTTACTGGAGAATATTAAGTATAAAATGTTAGAACGACCTAACATATTAAAAAGACAGGTCCACATCTATTTTTAAGATATTCACAAGCCCATTCGATACAATTCAGAGAATGGATACTTTTATGTAAATGTCCATGCTCACTTAGATTATTGATTTTGTATACATTCTAACATTTTAACACAATATGACCACAAATGTTCATGTTCGTGTTGATTATACTGCCACCTCGATAACTGACGATTTACACTTGGGTGGACATTGTGTCACTTTAATATACATTGACATTGTAGTACGGATTTCTTCATTATATATTTACAATGGGAATATTACAATATGCGAGTTATTGTGTCTCTTTCCAAAAAGTACATCTCTTCCCTTTCATCCGCTTACGTTGTGAACCCTCTAGGCGAAGCTCTCTCCAAATTTCTGCCTGCCGAAATATTTTCGTTTAAATCATACTTTAATGTTATGTTTCAATTAATTTAGGAGGACTTCCTCTGTTATTATCTCTTAAGAGTGCCCGAGTATGCATTACAGGTGCCTGGTGTAAACCAATAAAATAAATCCCTAAAACAACGCACCCATACAATTTTGTGACTCCACTAATCAAAGTGCTACATCTTGTCTAGGGAAACACACAATAGACATAATTTATACCTCCCCGAAAAATACTATGTTTATTGAAAAGTAAACGAAACCGACATCAACTTACTAGTTTTTATACCAGTGAGAAAACCAACTATGTGACAATCGAAATACTCAAATATAGCTGTTTAAGAGTACGAGAAATGAATTGCGAGAAATATCTGACAACATTATATCCCAAATTACAGCTTTTGATAAATCAAACGTCCATCTAGAAGTTGACATTGAGGGATTCAGCTTTCAAGTTAACTCTTGATGTGCTATTCTATATGAAGATATTTGGTTTTCATTTACCATGAAAGCAATAAAATACTA